TCTGGTTGCTTGTTATCGTCCGTCTCCTTTATAGACATCTGATCTACCAAGGGAAGTGTAATCATTCTCTACACGTGAATTGTATTTGGTTTTGCTTTACAGCTCTAAGAAGTTTTCACTGAGCTGGTATTTAGTGATTCTACTAATGTGCTACTATATTTATTTTTAATATTTATATATTAACTTGATTGGGGTAACATTGATGTGCTACTATATTAGACACTGGGACGGTCTTGAATAGGCTCAAAAGAAAGTGCAGTGAGAAAGAGTCAGTGTGACATCAGGGAAGTAGGAAGTTAAAAGGTTTTTTTTTCTGGGTGATCCCTAAAGAAATAACATAATCATTAGACAACAGTGTAGTTTTCAATAGTTGACTGTGAATTATTCTTTTCGTTGCTATTCAAAGCAGATGGAGATTATAATTTTATAGAAAGGATTAATGAGTTGTGATGCCAGCTCTCAGTGACAGAAGAAATTACTGTCACATAGTAAATGGATAAGAATAGTGGGGGGAGTTCAAAAGATGAACTTATCCCTAAATGCATTGCATCAAGGGATGGCACATACATTTCTTTTCACCTGCCAATTCCAATGGTTTGATGCCCAGAGAACTATGTTAAGAAGGATTCCTGGCTCAGGGGAAAGAGTGCAGTAGTCAGTTAGTGATGCCTCTGCTAAGATTTTTTAAAAAATATATTTTATTGACTTTTTGCAGAGGGGAAGGGAGAGGGATAGAGAGTTAGAAACATCGATGAGAGAGAACATCGATCAGCTGCCTCCTGCACACTCCCTACTGGAGATGTGCCTGCAACCGAGGTACATGTCCTTAATCGGAATCGAACCCGGGACCCTTCAGTCCGGAGGCCAATGCTCTATCCACTGAGCCAAACCGGTCAGGGCTCTGCTAAGATTTTTTGAAGGCATAGAATGGCATGCACACCACATTTGCTGTCTTTGAATTTCCAGCACAAACTAAACTGGATGCTTTAAAAACACTAACTTCTTCAAAAAAACCATTTATTAAACCATGCGTTTATAACAGTAGCTAATATTTATTAAGCACTTACAATGGACCAGACAGTAATCTAATTGTTTTATATGTATCAATTCATTAATTCTGACGATTTGATGAGGCAAATACTATTATTCTTATCCCTATGTTACGAACAAGGAACTGAAGTCATCTTCTCTAGATCTTTGCCCATCTTGTCAAGATGGCCTATTCTGGCTTTTGTATTTCAAATTTCAGTCTTGTCAGTGTCCCTCCCAATCTCCCTTCCTGACTGAATTTTCTCAGTGGTACTTGTCACCACCTGACATATATGTTAGTCCTTTGTTGATTGTCTCCTCCCACTAAAATGTAAGCTCCATTGTCAGGATTCCAGGCAATTCCAACTTGCAATTGGCACAAAGTGAAGTCGATAGTTTCCGTTCCTCTGGGTCAAGGATAGGCTGTATTTAAGGCACTTGATCAGTGTTGCCAACTTGCCTTCTGGAAAGCGCATGAGCATGTCCCTCTCCTTGGACTTCTGCCAGTACTGAGAATTGCCGTGTAATAAAACTCTGCCGATTCCATATGAAAAAAAATCTCATTTTCATTTTCGGTTTCTTGATTACAGATGAAGAACATGTGTTTTTAAGATTTACACATTACATCTTTTGAGTGGGATGAGTAATAACAAAAAGCCTGTTTGAAATGTCACAATGTTTCTGTTTGGATATGAAAACATGTCAATTCATGCGTAGAAGAGAAGGTGTCGTTATGTGTGCAAATTTTGGTATGAGAGTTGAGACTGGGGGAGGGGAAAGGATAAAAACAAGAGAAAAGCTAGGAAGAGGGGGAAAGGAAAGAGCAGAAGAAAGAAAAGCAGGGAAGAGGAGAGAAAAAATAAAAAGTGTAGAATTGTTTTGCATTTTGTCCCAGAGGCCTCGCCTGGGAGACAGGCTACTCGGTGATGGTGGAAATGAGCCACACTCAGCTGACCCTGCCCTCTGCCAAATCACATCCAGGCCGGGGGTTCTCAAACTAGGTGACCTGCGGACCCCTTTACACTATTAAAAATTATCAAGAACCCCCAAAATCTTTTACTTATACAGATAATATCAGTATATACTATATTAGAAATTAAAACAAAATCTTAAAATATTTACATAAATACATTTTTTATGAAAAATATATTTTCCAAAACAAACAACAAAAAATTAGTGAAAAGAAAGTTATTATTTTTACAGTTTTGCAAATCTCTCAGATATCTGGCTTAATAAGAGATGGCTGGCCTTTCCTTTCTACTTCTGTGCTCAGTCTGTTGTGTTACCACATGTCACATAGCCTCTGGAAAACCCCACTCTACACTCAGAAGAGGATGAGTACGGAAAAGAATGTCATAGGATTAGAAAATGAGGCAACCAATCAATGAGAGACCCTCCTCTCCCATCCCCTCCGTCATTGGTTAATAAAATTACAGAGGGTGGATTTCCTAAAAGCACCCCAGGAAGCCTTTAGGGGTGCCCGGACCACACTTTGAGAACCACTGAGTGAGTCAGAGGGAACTGATACCCGGTGGCCAGAGGGACCATGGAAGGGATATCTAACAATTTGTCAAGAGCCATCAAAATATTAATGCCTGTTGACACAATGATTTCCCTTTAGGGCAGTGGTTCTCAACCTGTGGGTTGCGACCCCTTTGGGGGTCGAACGACCCTTTCACAGGGGTCGCCTAAGATCATCGGAAAACTCATATATAATTACATATTGTTTTTGTGATTAATCACTATGCTTTAATGATGTTCAATTTGTAACAATGAAAATACATCCTGCATATCAGATATTTACATTACGATTCATAACAGTAGCAAAATTACAGTTATGAAGTAGCAACGAAAATAATTTTATGGTTGGGGGTCACCACAACATGAGGAACTGTATTAAAGGGTCGTGGCATTAGGAAGGTTGAGAACCACTGCTTTAGGGAATATATTTTAAAAGAATAATCCCCCAAAGAAGGAAAACTGTTTAAATGACCTACAATTGGGAAATGGTTAAGTAAGTCCATTTAATGGAATATTTTGCAGCCTAAAGTTATAATTACTAGTACTAGCAGGGGAAGAATTATATAGCCCTAAGCGAAAAATGCAAGTTATAATCTTGACTATGCCTACCACTCTCGGGAGACTGTGTGTCTGCAGACAAAGCCTCAAAGGGAGAAGGAAAGTTGGGTCAGTTTGATATATGGGCACGGGCTTATGGGAGGTTTTTATTTTGGCCCATGTTACTTTGGTGTTTGCTTATTACTTTGCAATAAGGAAAGACAAAAATAAGGGCTCTCTCTGTCTTACTCCCCTAGGTCAGTGTGGTCAGGAGGGAGCGGAGAACAGAGTCACCAAGGGCCCTGGAGCTGGGGAAGAAGGGGTGCGGGGGCATATGGGGCGTGCCAGTCAGGATGGGGACTTGATGCTTCAGCTCATTCTGTGGTGCCCTTTCAGTGGTGACAGGAGAGACCTTCGACTAAGCAGCTGTTGTCAAAGGCTTGTGGGGAGATGACAGGAGACCAGGTGTGGGCCCAGCACGTCACTTCAGAAAGGGGAGGAAAAGCTGGTGAGGGCAACTACAGAGCCCGCATCTTTGGAGAGAACCAAGGGCCAGGGCCACACTGTCTAAAGGAGCTGGGAGAGCACAGCTGGGAGGCCACCAGTGCTGGGTGGGTCATGGGTCGGAGGCAGCAAGGGCTGCAGGGCCCGATGGAGAGTTTACCGGACACCTTACGGCTCAGACGCAGTCTTCTGCCACTGAGCACGTGCTCTTTGACTGTGTTCTTGCCCTTCACATTGGAGCAGGGTTGGCTGCCTTACGTCCAAGGTGCAGCCAACTGAGGTTCGAGGTTGGCTACTTCATACACCTCACCATCTCGGTCTTTGTTTCACTCCTATCTAGGTTATTTCCTCCCACAGGTATCAATACTTATATTTTCCATTCACAGTCATAAAACAATAAGGACTAACCTCATGCTCCATGAGAAGTGTGTGGTGCAGACCAAGGGAGGCAGCTGCAAAAGAGCTGTTGGCTGCCAGGCAGGTGCTCCAGGTGATAGTTCAAAATGCCAACTTGGCGGCTAATGGATCTCTCTGGATTGGGCATGTGAAAGGGAGAGAGAGAGAAAGAGAGAGAGAGAGACATCAATGCGAGAGATATACATCAATTGGTTGCCTCTTGAATGAGCCCCAACCCAAGCCAGGGATCAAACCTGCAACCCAGGTATGCACCCTTAACCGGAAGTCGAATCTGTGACCCTTTGGTGCTTGGGCCGATGCTCCAACCACTGAGCAACACCAGCCAGGGCTAAAAGTCTTTAATATCATCTACCACCCAATCCATACTCATTCATTTCCCCAGTTATCTCAAAAATGTCTTTTTATAGCTGGTTGGTTGAAATGAGGTCAGGACCCAAAGGAAGGCACACGCATGCTGTAACCGTCTCCCCTTCTGTTTCTTTCCATGTCACTGAAAATGACATGGAGTCACTGAGAGTACATGTTATATTTTTTTCATTTATTAGGTTGACATCGGTTAATAAAATTATAGAGGGCGATTACCAGAGAGAAGGAGGGTGGTGGTGGAAGGCGGTACAAGAGAGCAAAGGGGGGCTAAATGGTGACAGAAGGAGACTTGACTTGGGTGGTGACACACAATACCACACGCAGATGATGTATTACAGAACTGTACATGTGAAACTATACAATTTTATTAACCAATGCGAGCACATTCTTTTTTGAGATAAGTTGCTTTCAGAACATTTTAAGGTTTATGAAGGAAATTCAAGTTAACGTGTTAGCACAAACACCCAGGTATTACTCAATTTCGTTTTCCTTTCACAGATTGCCTTCCACGAGTATTTCTATAATGAAAAGTCAGGGTTTTGCTATTGAGTGCCTCATGTTGTGCTTTGACTCATATTTCTTCAGAGCTAATCACAGGGTGTGAGGACACCCACCAGGGCCCGGCACGAAATACAGAGCAGTTCACAAAGTTGTGTGTCATCCTTGCACAGGGCCCACGCTGATCTCTCTACTGTTCCGATGTTTAGTGTTTGTGCTGCCAAAGTGAGCACACTCATACATCCTTAATGCACAGCAACTAACTGACATCCTCCCCCTGCCTCGAAATGTACTCTATACAGAAGGCAGCTGCCTCCCTGAACTCACTCTCGTTTAGTCTCTTTCTCAAATCCCAACCCCATCCCACCTCCCCCCAGCTTGGTCTGTAGGGCTTCCCTCGTTCATCCTGTCTTTCTGTACAGACCTCCCTGGTCTTCTCTGGCGTTCTCTCTGCTTAGCCCATGACCAAGGTTTGTTATTGCAGAGAAGAGCCCAGCCCGAGCCAGCAGGCACACGTCCTTCGTCTCAGCGTCTGGTGGCAGATGCATGAGGTGCCAGTAGCCCAGGGACAATCCTTGTTCCTGTTTCTCGGAGGAGGATATGGGGCATCGTTATTTATTTAGATGTCTGCCTTCTTCACGAGGCAGCCGGTGCCTGTGGTTGAGATAATGTCTTAGTTTATTGTTGCATCCTCAGGGCCTAGTACAGTGCCTGTCGCTTGAAGGCATCAAGAAGGATTCCTTGTCATGGGCACAGGCTGTGGGCCTTCTCTGTTGTTGTTGGGAGGGTGGCCTGTGCCCAAGGAACCATGATGAACAAGCCCATGTCAATTTGCGACAGAGCATCCAGTTATATTCCTTCTGCTCCTGGAAGATTGTGTTAAGTTCCGACTGAAGCAAATGCCCTGCGTGACATCGGTGTTGAGTCACTCTCGGGGCTCCCACACACACGACATTCGACATTCTCGTTTTCACTCTGAGAACTCCCTCTCGTGCTGTGCCCGTCACAGTCACAGTCGTCTCTCTGCGGGCCTTTCCCTCTGAATCATCGGGCACTGGTTACTGTAATCTGAAACCCCCCCCTCCCCTCTCTCGTCTGAAAGCTTTCTTTGCGTCACCTCTAAACAGGTGGGGTTTGCCCTCACTGCTGGGGCTGGTACACATCTCAGTTCTTAAACTCAGGTGTGATGGGGCCATGGCTTCTTCATTTTCTCCAGGGCTTAATTTCTGTTTTGAGGACCTTTAGTCTTGTCCTCTTTCCCTAGGATCCCACAAGTGCAGCAGGTGGGGCTGTGAAGGGCGTAGGGCGGGATCAAACCCGGCCTCAGGGGTTGCTTTGATCCACTCTGAGTGACATCCATGGGAAGCCCTGGCCTGACAGGCTCGGCGGTCCTCCCATGGCCCCGAGCACCCAGGCTGACTGGATGTGGTCCCTCATGGTTCCCCACCACTCTCAGGTGCAGCTGCATCACTGGGCTCTCTGGGCGGGGTGGGGGGGGGCGCGGGCAGCACGGCCCCCTCCTTGCTTTCTGATCCCGCATCCTGTCTGGGGCTTTGTCATATGCCCCCTGTGGTTCCCTCCCTGCGGGGATGTGAGAGGGAGGCACAGGGTCCCTTCCGAATGACCTACCAGTATCTTGGGGTGTCTGCAAAGGAGCTGCTGTAATGAGAGCCAGCGAGGAGGGGAGAGACGGGGGACAGTGAAGAGCTGGTGGAATAATGCCTGTGGCCTGGGGCGCTGAGAGGCGCTGGACTGGAGCACTAGGCAAACGGAGGACGTGGCCCTCCCTGAGACGAAACAGAGATGGGGGAGCGGGTGTGACAGGAGAGGAGCCGTTGGTGGTTTGTGGGGTTCAGGCTTTCTTGACATTTCCTTGGGGACAGGCAGCCTCTAGAGGAGGAGACATGAGGGTCGCTGGATTTGCGAGGTGAGTCCACTAAGACTCCAGAACCCCAGGTTCCTTAGCCCTGGTTGTCAAGCTTGTAGAAGTTCTAGAAAAAATTATTCAATCACATGTGAGAGGGGTGTGGGTCTGTCCTTTCCAGGTCAGGTGTCCTGAGTCTGGTGCCCAGTGTTAGGCCCTTTCCATCACTAGAAAGGACGTCTCCTCAAGGTCCTTCCTGAGACGGGAGAGCAGGGGTGTGACCGCATGAGTGACCGGTGAGTGCACAGCGGGCTCTCCTCCCTGACTGCGGCACTGCCCTGCTCTGGGGCCAGGGGCACACAGCCCTAGGAGGATTCCAGACTCAGCTCTCCAGGCGCTTGCTTCTTGACCAACTCCCATTGCTGCCTCTGTTTCCCAGAACCCCGAGGCCAGGAGATGCCCGAGACAAACATGGCTACCCCTGCTCATTCTAGGAAATTCCT